ATTTTGAACAGAGATGTTAGAATTGGGATCTAGGGTTAATTTCTAATCGGTGCTTGAGAGAGGGGGTTAGAAATACATTAGGATTCTTGCTTTTAAATATGAGAAAATTAATTGGAATAATTTGAATTCATTGAATCATAATTGAAAGTTAGGTGAAATCAATCCCTAAGCCTTCTCATTTGATAAATTTGCATTCTCCAATTTTGTCGCATCCAATTCACGTTAGATTTAGTTTATATCATTCACTTATAAAACATTAAATTCATTCAATCATACATTTGTCTAAATAAAGTAGAAATTTCACAATTGTAGTACTTAGTGAAATTTAAATTACAATCCCTGTGGGTTCGACACTCTTTAATCTATTACTATATTACAAAACTTGACACCGTACACTTGCGATATAAAATCACGTTGCATAAATCGCGTGGCACTCGACCATTAAGATAATTAGTTAATACCTCGACGATAATGATTCAATGCTAATCTCGATGCCTAAATGAAGTTTTAACCTTGACGCCTAAGATATTATATCCGACGACAAAGATTCATTTTTGATGAGCTTGACCAATAGGATTATCTTGAGGATTGAATTTCACAAAATCATTTTCAAAATTATGCATTGAGCTCTAGCATAGTACATGTTTATCTCGAGGACTCAATTTCGTAAAATCATTTTCGATGATCAGTGTTGAGCTCGAGCATATAAGTTATCTCGAGGACTCATTTTCACAAAATCATTTTTCGAAATTATGTATTGAGCTTGAGCATAGTTCATGTTTATCTCGAGGACTCAATTTCGTAAAATCATTTTCGATGATCAGTGTTGAGCTCGAGCATATAAGTTATCTCGATGACTCAATTTCACAAAATCATTGTTCGAAATTATGTATTGAGCTTAAGCATAGTACATGTTTATCTCGAGGACTCAATTTCTTAAAGGTTTCGGACAAAGGTAGTAACTCGATCAGGTCATTCCTTAGTAGGGGGATTATCTCGAGGATTAATGACAATGTATGGTACCGACCTATAACATGATTCCCGAGGACAAGGATGGCATTTTTATAAGATCTGTCACATCATTGATCGAGCACTGTGTGGTCGGGAATGTTATTTGTATCATTTGCCCTGGTAACAATCTCTATGAGTTTGCTCGTGGTAATACTTTTTGATTGCTTGCGTGGGGCAAAGCTTTTTGATTGCTTGAGCGGGGCAAGGCTTTAATGTTGCTTACTGCGGCAAGGCTTTTTGATTGCTTGCGCGGGGCAAGGCATTTTGATTGCTTGCGTGGGCAAGGCTTCAGTTGCTTGCGTGGGGTAAGGCTTTTTGATTGCTTGCGCAAGGTAAGACTTTAGTTGCTTGCGCGGGGCAAGGCTTTAGTTGCTTGTGCGGAGTAAGGCTTGATTGCTTGCGCGGGGCAAGGCTTTAGTTGCTTGCGCGGGGCAAGGCTTTTTGATTGTTTGCGTGGGGCAAGGTTTGAGTTGCTTGCGCGGGGCAAAGCTTTTAGATTGCTTGCGCGGGGAAGGCTTTCAGTAGCTAGATCATATTTTGATGAATAACTTAATTCTTATCATATTTTAAAAATAGACTTGGCACGCAGGTTTGACGACTAAAAACGTGAATCTTGGTACGCAGGCCTGACTACCGAAAAATAAGACTTGGCACGCAGGCCTGAAAACTGAAAAAATTAACCTTGACACGCAGGCCTGACTACCGAAAAATGGAAGAACATGTTACTTGTAATATATTTTTAAATTCTCGACGTTCCATGGTCTTGGAAGTGGTCTTCCTGATGTATCCTTTAAATTGTATGCACCTCCTTGGAGCTGTCGAATGACTTCGAAGGGCCCTCCCAAACTGGTCCTAGCTTGCCCAGGGCATGATCCGCTGCTTCGGCCCTTCTTAACACAAGGTCTTCGGCTCTGAATCTCCGCATCTTCACTTTTTTATTGAAGTACTTTGCTGTTCTATCTTGGTAAGAGGCCACTCTTAAAGTTGCTTGATCCCGAACTTCTTCCAAGAGGTCAAGGTGTTCAGTGGTGCACCCTACATCTTCAGGCTTAAGCCTTCTTTGGCTGGGCAACCTGACTTCAACAGGGATGGTGGCCTCAATACCGAAAGCCAACATGAAGGGGGTTTCCCCCATAGTGGTTCTATCGGACGTTCTATATGTCCAAAGTATGGAAATAACTCATCAGACCAAGAACCTCTTACATCTCCGATCCTTGTACGGAGGTCTTGCAATATAATCCGATTGGTCACTTCGACAAGACCATTGCTTTGAGGATGGGAAACTGATGTCAAACGGTGATCAACCCTAGGTTGGAGCAGAAGCTTTTAAATTGTGCATTGTCAAACTGCCTGTCATTATCAGTTATGAGGACTTTCGGTATCCCGAACCTGTATATGATGGACCTCCAAATGAAACTTCTCAACTTAGGCTCTGAAATTGTTGCTAAAGGCTCAGCCTCCACCCACTTAGTGAAATACTCTACAGCCACCGCCACAAACTTCAATTGCCCCTTGCTATTGGAAAGGGACCAAGGATGTCAATTCCCCGTTGCTCAAACGGGGCCCTACAACTAATGCTAGTGAGGTCTTCTGCGGGAGAATGGATGATATTGCCGAATCTCTGGCACTTGTCACACTTCTTGACATATTCCTGGGCATCTTTCTTCATGGTAGGCCAATAATATCCATACCTTATGAGCTTGAAGGCTAATGCCCGAGCTCCTTGATGGTTCTCACATATCCCTTCTATGGAAGTGTGAGGCTTCTGCGAAGTAGAACTCCCTCAATCATGCAATACCTTGGAGCTTTGGACCGGATGTTTCTTGCTACTCGAGGATCTTCTGGAAGATTGCCATGTTTTATGAAGTCCACTATTGGATCCATCCACGATGGCTTATCATCAATATCCATTACACCTACGGTTTGATTGATGCTTGGCTCGATTACAATTCTAACGTGGACTATCCTGTCAAGTCCATCTATTTCCATGAACACCAATCTTGACAAGGCATCGGCCTTACAATTCTCAGTCCGAGTAATCTTCACAATTTCACAACCCTTGAACTTTTTCTGGAGATCATGCACTTTCAAGCAGTATAAGCTCATCTTCTCGTCCTTCCTATCGAACGTCCCTTCAATTTGTCCAACCACCAACAGAGAATCACTATAAATTTTGATATTTTCAAGCTCGAGATTGATGGCAAGTTCTATGGCTATGATGACGGCCTCATACTCTGCTTCATTATTGATCGCCTCAAATTCGAACCTGAATGGACACAGAATGTCTATGAGCATGTCCGGGCTTATGATTATGACCCATACACCCGATCCCGACGAGTTTGATGCTCCATCTACAAAAATTTACCACACGTCTGTAGTCAAGCTCGAGCTACCACCTGGCCCCCGAAGCCTTGGGTGAGTTCTGCAATGAAGTCTACTAAGGCCTGAGCTTTGATAGATGGACGGGGCTTGAACTCTATGTCAAATTCTCCGAGTTCAATTGCCCACCTCAGTAATCTTCCTGAGACATCTGGTTTCTGAAGAATGTGTTTTAGAGGCTGATTGGTGAGCACTACAATAGGATGTGACTGAAAATATTGTCGAAGCTTTCGTGCTACCACTATCAGTGCAAGGGCAAGTTGTTCTGCCAAAGTGTATCTTGTTTCTGTATCAAGTAGGACTTTGCTTACGTAATAAATGGGTTGCTGGGCCTTGTTGACCTCTTTCACCAAAACATCACTCACTGCATTCTGTGATACGACTAAGTATAAATACAAAGTATCCCCGGGCTCGGGTTTGGTGAGGATAGGAGGAGATTCCAATATCTGCTTGAGCTCCTGAAAAGCCTTCTCGCACTCCTCATTCCATTCAAAGCAATGATTACCCCTAAGGGCTTTAAAAAAAGGAAAGCACATGTCTACTGTTCGGGACATGAACCTGTTTAAGGCGGCTACCCTGCCTGTCAACTTTTGAACTTCTTTCTTGGTCCTTGATGATTCCATTGTTGCTAGAGCCTGAATCTTGTTGGAGTTGGCCTCAATCCCCCGATGAGTGATCATGAAACCCAGAAACTTTTCCGAAGTTACGCCGAACACACACTTCTCTAGGTTGAGCTTCATCTTATATTTTCATAGGGTGACGAACACCTTCTCAAGGTCGGATATGTGTTGCTCTACCTTCTTACTCTTTACAACCATGTCATCTACATAGGCCTCGATGTTCTTCCCTATCAAATTGGTGAAGATTATGTTGATGAGCCTCTTGGTTGCCCCAGCATTTTTCAACCCAAATGGCATCACCCTATAGTAATATATGGCTGAATCAGCCATGAATGAAGTCTTCTCTTGGTCTTCTTCAGCCATGAGGATTTGATGATACCTTGAGAATGCGTCTAAGAAGCTGTACAGCTTATGTCTGGATGTGCTATCCACAAGATTATCAATCCTGGGTAGCGGGTAGCTGTCTTTCGAGCACTCCTTATTAAGATCTGTGAAGTCAATGCAAAGCCTCCATTTACCACGGCTTTTTTCACAAGAACAACATTAGCGAGCCAATCGGGGTATTGGACTTTCCTTATGAAGCCCGCTCTCACCAATTTGCCAACTTCTTCCTGAATGACCACACATCTTTCCGGCGCAAACAACCTCTTCTTTTCCTTAACAAGTTTGGCCTTTGGGTTGATATTGAGTTATGGACAGCTACTTCTGAGTCTATCCCGGGCGTATCATCTACCTTCCATGCAAAAACATCGATGTTGCGGGTCAGACAATCGATGATTTCTTCTCGGAGGTTGGCCTGGAGATCCCGATAATAGTGATGGCTTTCTCGTGCTCGAGCTCGACCACTTCTAACTCCTCAACGGGGGCCAATCTGCCCCTTGGCTCGAGCTCGAGGTCTGAAAGTTGCATGACGTCTGTACTCATTCCTCGGATGCTAGTAACATAGCACTGTCTGGCAGCCGTTTGGTTTCCTCTAACTACTCCGATGCCCTAATCTGTGGGGAACTTCATGGCGAGGTGGAAAATTGATACAATAGCCTGGATCTTGTTCAGTAGGGGTCTTCCCAGAATGATGTTGTAGGCCATTGGGGTATTAACCACTTGGAATGGAGTGATCTCCATCACTTGTATATTACCAAATCCTAATGTAAGCGGGAGCTTGACGATACCCTCAGGGATAATGACTCCACCACCAAATCCCTGTAGAGGAGTTTTTACTACTTTGAGCTATTTGGGAGAGATCCCCATTTTGGCGAAAGCCTTCTGCAAGAGTATATTTGCTGCACTCCCATTATCAATCAGGATCCTCTTTACTTCGAAGTTAGCCACAACCGTAGAGACGACCAAGGTATCATCATGAGGATATGAAATTTGTTCCAAATCTCTTGCCCCAAAAGTGATGTCTTTAACTTCATCACGAGATTCCATTGGGGTATGAGCATGTTGGCGGGCATACTGCTTTCGCCCACTATTTGTGTCTCCTCCAGATGCTATGCCCCCGACGATAATATTAATTGTCCCGGCAGTGAGTTGAGCACTGCCTCCGGTTCTAGGCTCTTTCCGATTATCACGATCATTCCTCGGGCATTTATCATGTCCAATGTAATTCCTTAAGAATCCTCTTTTAATGAGAGCTTCGATCTCCCGCTGCAAAGCTTGACAATCCTTCGTGGTATGCCCATGATCCTAATGAAATTCGCAATATTTGCTCCCATCTCTTGTGTCAGGGGGGACTTTATCCTTGAAGGCCACTTTAATTCTTTCATATCCTTAATCGCCATCAAGATGTTTGTCTTAGAGGTGTTCAACCGAGTTAGAGATTCTGAAGGCGCCTCATTTTTGTGCTTTTCCCGAGAATGTTCATGCCGGGGAACGGGATCATGTTGCCTCTTGTTTTTGACCTTTTCATGAGGGGGACCAGCTCTCCTTGGATTCAATGTCTCCTCCATATTGATGTACTTTTTAGTTCGGTTAAGGAGCTCGGTCACTGTCTATGGTGGGGTCTTTGATAAAGGCATTTTGAAGGCCTCACACCTTATGGCATAGGTAAGGGCAGAAACTGCTGCTGTAATATGGAAGTCAGGTATTTGAAGTCTTTCCTTGTTAAATCTTGTCATAAAACCTCGTAGGGTTTCATTTGGCCCCTGGCGTAGTTGCATAAGGGAGGCTGCGGTCTTCCTGATTCGTTCGCTACTCACAAAGAAGGCTGAGAACTTATCAACCAAATCTGAGAATGAGGCTATGGAGTTGGGCTCCAATGTCGAGAACCAATCCCTAGTAGCATTAGTAAGTGTTTGTGGAAAGGCTTTGCACATAACCAGATCCAGCGCAACTTGCAAGTTCATGACATCAGTATATACATTGAGGTGGTTGATGGGGTCGGACGTCCCATCATACTCTTTAATGCGGGGATATTTGAATCTGTCGGGCAAGGGATATAACAATATCTCTGGTGTGAATGGAGTGTTAGGGGTGAAACTCGTTGGTCCCCGAGCATTCCGTTTCAGGCCAGCTGTAATTCCTTCTTGAATGATCTGGGCAATTTCACCGGAATCCATGGCGACCGATCTTGAGCCCGAGGCCATATTGTGAATACCCGAGGTTCCTACTCCGCCAGTTGCGGGGTTTGGTGGTTGTGCTCGAGCATCAGGCATAAAACTGCCATGCTCTGCCTGGGCTGGCAACGGATGTGAATTTCTTTGACTTAATAGTTGTGTGAGCGTGGCAACCTGCTGACAAAGTTCTTCAAAGGCTTCAGTTGTGATGACCGCTGGCAGAGGTGCGGGCACTCCTGACGACTCTTCATGAGGAGCCTGTTGATCTTAGGCAGGTTGAGGGATGGGAGCTGATGAGCTTACGGGAAGAAGACCTGATTGTGTGTTAACCATGGCTTTTGGTAGTGTTTCCCACAGACGGGCGCCAATAATGCTACCAAAAGTGGTACCTGGCGGATCCGGAGGATGATGACTGAAGATGACACGAACAAAGCCTTCCAAATACCTGAAACAAAGGTAACGAGGTGTGTGCTCGTCGTCCCTCCGATACTTAATTCAGAAAAGGGATGCAAAGAAGAATATATGCTGGAAATTGTGTATGTAGAACGTACCTGAATAATGGACCTGGGTCGTGTATTTATAGCGGTAGGTAGTGCACTCCTAGTAGGATCGAATAAGTTGGACATTCTTATCTAATAGAGTCCTGCCTGAGAGAAGTATACTATTTGTAATATAATTGCATGACCAGTGATACTATTGTTGACATAGAGTTCTTGTGGATGTAGGAGTCCTGGGTGGAAATGTTTGAATCATATTGAGATCCTTAGAAGGTAAGACTTACTATGGGCTCGGGTGAAAAGTTTGGCTGGAAGGACAGTGCTCGAGTACTTAACCTCGAGGACTTATGGGCTTAGGAGATAGAGTAGAGTTTTCAGGATAAACACCCTGAAGACCATATAAACCCCGGGGACTATACCTCAGAATGAAATTATGAGATTCAAAATGTCCTCGAGATAATAGTCGTCGAGACATGTCAATCCTCGAGTATACAACTTGGCAATATCAGTAACCGATGAATAAATTATGCCCAATAAATTTTTTGATTTATAAACATAAAATTATTTGCGACCTACAAGATTTCTTATTCGTGATCAAGAAATAATTTATAACCAAATAATATAGAATTGTAACCTTAATATATTTAATTAATAAAACAATTTTTTATTATTATTTCATAAATAAAATTTGATAAATATTTGATTTTTGAAGTTTTGAAATGGATCATACTTAATTTCTTCAATATGAAAATTTTCCCATTAGGACTGAAGAAAATGAAGTTGTGGATTCTCTTCAAAGCCCTTTAACAATGGCTAGGTGAAGATAAATTTCTTTAACAGTTTTGTTTAAAGCCTCTCAAATTTTGAGATCCCAGTCTATTGCCTAAATAGATTAGCTTTCGTCCGGGACATCGAGCCTGAGCTTCAAGGACCAAACTTATCAGCCACTGATAACTGGTCTGCCTGTTGAATGACCTTGATATAGGCACAAGTTCCAATTAGTTTGCTCAATTTGATGCCTCTACTTTCAAAATAGACTCGAGTTTTGGAAGAGAGTTTTATTTAGGTATGTCCTATTTAACATATTTTAATAGGACCAACCAAATCGACTGACCGCATCTCTCTCTTATGTTCAAATTGCATCTTTTCTCAATTAAAGAGCAGCCATTCATTCGTTTGCTCAATGTAGCCACCCTATATCGTCAACATTTTGATCTCCGTAGAACATGAGTTAAATTATTTGTACACCATGATATATAGTCCCCTCACATGTTGAGGGTGCCTACATGATCTTTTAATTATGGGCCCCCTCATTGTGAGGGGACTGCAAAGATGTACAGCAATAATTGCTCTACACCAATCACAGTCCTTAGAACATAGATCATTAGTGGTTGCTAAGAACATATGGATGAAACGATAATCCAAAACGAATTCAGATAACCGACCTCAAATTTATTAGAAATAACATAGCAAACATCCTAATGCATTTCACTCTTAGCCCCTATTTGATTTGAATAAAAATTAATTTATTAGTAGATTTTAATAAAAGTTAGTAAAATATATATAGTTAAAAGTTGTAAACCCCAATAATTTATGGTTAAAAATGAGTTAAGAAATGGGAAGGATCAAACAGGAGCTAAACATATCTAACTAGAGACTTAAACAACAATTATTTTCCAACACAAAAAAAATTCCAGATGTAGGAGCAAAACAAATTATTTGATAGAAAAATTCAACAAAGATATGCATTAGCTCTCCTCTAAAGTCAAACACAGCATAAATGGGCCCAAATGTGTTCCCATAATTAGGTGGTTGAGCAAAATTTTCTAATTTTTCTTTTCCTAATGCATTCATAATTTCATGTTTTTTGAAGTCGATATTTGAAGACACAGAACTGTGAATATAGGGCGCAAAATAAGTTTCAAGAAAAGGGATCTAATATTACTTTTCAACAAACGATGACTCGGCCAGATCAATGGCTCGAGCAAGAGCAGCAGCCTTGTTTTCACACTCACTCTGCTCATCAACAGGATCACTATCGGCCACTATGCCCGCCCCGGCTTGGAGATGAGCAACCCAATCTTGACGCGTGTTCCTTTCATTGTATGAGTACATCGTATCATAACGCATAGATGTTGGGAATACGATAGTCCTCAAAGCTAAGGCAATATCCATATCTCCAGTGTAAGAAATGCCTCCAAATCCACCACTATATGGCCCACGCCTTGTAACTTCTAGTTGATCTATCAATTCCATTGCTTTCACCTGCACAGCCAAAGATAAGATATATATAGTGCATCCTCTTCTAGTATAATAAGTGAACTGCCATTCGACTCATCTTTGAGAAAGAAAATGATCGTGTTAAAATGTAACTTTTAAGGCCATGTCTGAGCGCAACATCAAGGATATTCCTCTGGCCAACTTGCCTCTTTGTGTCAAGGCCAAAATATAGGCTTACTTTACTCACAAGCCCAAATAATACCAACCTTGGCCTTGGTCAGTCTACAATGATGATCATAGACGACAAATGTCCAATTCCATGTCATGAACCATTACTAGATGATAATAGACTAAAAAGTCCAATAAATATAAAGAAAATTCCACCTACACACTCTCGGTTCTAAATTCATATGCACAATGAGCTTGGTCCAATTCAATGTGGGTGAACAACTACTAGATGATAATAGACTAAAAAGTCCAATGATTACAAATAAATTCCAACTTAACCCTCTCAGTTTTACTTATATATGCACAATGAGCTTAGTTGAGACTCCCTCTATCCACAATAGGCCCATTTAACCTCCGCAGTCAACATATGAATTTTTAATGCAGAAATTCTAGTTAATTTTATACATACATTTGAGACAAACTTATAATAAACTTCCCATCAATCTATCATTTGAAAACTTATTTTAAGATAATAAATTGTAGAAGTATGTACATAAATTATTGCTCAAAGAAACTTCAAATTGACTTTGAAAGTCGAATGGGAGCATGCAATCATGATCGTAGGCAGCAATAAAAATTAAACTTGCAAGAATAAGATAATGTTTCTACATAAGATTATGAAACAAAACTCAGTATCGGATTCAAAGGAACAATTAATGCCGGCTAGAAGTGACGGCAAACATAACTCAGAGCTGAACTATTAAATCATTTCAACTTGCAGATGGAAAAGCTACACCAAAAAATAAAATGGATGAGATAGAACCCTCTTTGGGATTAGAAAAATGGCAACATGCAGCCTAATTCATGGAGTGGGAACTCCACCAAGCTAGTTTATATGTATTTCAGCTAATTTCGGGGTTTCATTCAAAATTAGACAGCTCAATAGATTTAAGTTTTGAATGATCCATATAAGATAAGATTATAAATAACAAAACCACTTATTTGCAATAAGAAAGAGAAGGAATGACCTTTGGAGCACCACTAACGGTTCCAACTGGCAATGCTGAACGCAGAGCATCCCAGCTAGTTAAATGATCAAGTAACTCACCAGTAACCTGTGAAACCGATATGAAAAAATATATTATGCGCATGTTTGATAATCAATACTAGATAGTAAAGGACATTACGATGGACAGGATTTTAGTTTCTTTTTCTCTCCTATAATGCCCAGTACTAACAGTCCACCTTACCAAACTAACCATACAAGTACTACAAATAACATACCAGCAGATCGTTTTTCCCAAAAACAACTAGTACCTAACAGCATCCAAATTTTTCATCTTTCAAACAAATGAAAATATCCAGACATTTACAATCCAGATACAAAAATTAATTTTATCATTTTAATAACTATGAATAACCATCATCCTTATCCATTCCTTTCTAATTAAAAAGAATGTCTTTTTTGTTGGGTAACTAATAAACCTTCACATGACAACCTTCAAGAGC